ATACCCTCAAGAAATTTTCTCAAAAGACAAGTAGAATTAATAAGCTGTATGCTGCACTTACAGCTGTATTCATTTCATTGCCGGATATTCTTTCAAGATGAGGGAGACTCTAATTTTGAATTTTTCAAGTAATGTGTAGGTAATTTTTTATGTCATTTTTCTTTTGTTTTCATGATGATCCTCATTTTAGTGAACTCAACATTTCCAATGTTTCTATTTTAATAGAATAGTTGCAGACAATTTTGACCTAAGCATAAAGTCCAGGATACAGACCAAGCAGTCTTCTAATCAGTCTATCCACTGGACAAACCAGTATGCAATTAAAGATCGAGTAGTCTGTTCTCCCAGTTTGGTAGAAAAGGGCCCATGTTGCAATTTGGATGACCTGCCACTTCATCAACTTCTGCCAACAGCATCTGTACAGAATCAGTTTAAATCTGATTGTGCCATACTTGTGGGTAGAGTGATAACCAGGTACTTGCCTGCTTTTCAACCAATGAAAGACGTGGTGGTATCACATATAGCTCATCCTCACAGCATTGAGATGTCACGGAAATCAGAATTTGTAAGTTTTAAAGCCTTACATCATAACATCTTTTCAAAGTTTGGTTTGTTCTTAGACCTTGCTTGTCACACAAGGAAGCGAAACTAATGTTATAATGAATCAACAGAAAGGAACTGCCCAGAGTGTATTTAGTACCCTCTTGATAAAAAATACCATACGGTCTTGTCAAAGGGATTTTTCAGTGGCTCAGGCTTTAGCTACATGTATGTCATGCAACATGAGAGTCCCAGGGGTAGATGGTGGGGGGGCGCATTTCCCAGTTTTGGCCTCAACAGGCTTGTGCTGTCCATCTTTTTGTGTTCATGAGTCTTAAGAATTTCCTTATAGATGAGCATGCATGGCTGGACAAGTGCATTCTTAAGTCAGATGTGCTTCTGCAAAAGCTTGTTAACAGGCAATCTCTGCTGTTCTTCATTAGCCACTTTTATTATTACAGTGCATTTCCAAAAAGTTTGGCATTGTATTTCTCAACATGTTTGTCCTTTGAATAATATTGCAGTACACCTTGGGTTTGTCTCTGCTTAATTCAAACATGTCGTCTGAAATGGCTCAGCTCCTTAAAGATGATCAAAAGAAGTATGTGCCACATGAGAGGAAAGCAGATGGTGATCTCTCATTTGTCGTACCAATTTTCTTTGACGGGGATGCTCTCACAGGTTAGACTTTCGTACAAAGTAATTTTTCCATCATGGTCTAATAGTGTGGGTGTCTTGCAACAAAATGCAGTTTGATGAACTTGAGCAATTACATAAAAGAGACACTACAATAATTATTTTTCACCTAGACTGTTGTTTTGCACTGAAGAAGTTTTGATGGAAACCTTTTATGGCATACTTACTGTATGCTTTTGCCTAACCCAGATCTGCTATTCAGTAATTTCACTGTGTATAAATAAATGTTTATTATTACTTGAATGTATATATATTTTTTTTATTGTTAAAGAGGAAAGAGCCAGGAATGTTCAATGGGCATTTGTTGATGGGGATGATGCCATTGATTGCCTCAAAGGGCTAGACCCAAGCCACACAGATTGGCATGCAAAAGTTACTCTTTATGAAGTGAGTTGGTAGATTTCAGGCCCACATGAACTTCATACATATACAAACACTGCAAGTGATTGAAGGTTAAGTGAACACTTTTTAATTATTGCTATTTTTGGGTAGGTGGACAAGAAAATTTTTTTCAGTAACGATTCTTCGGGTGAAGTGGGGAGCATGTGTGCTTCAATGAACAGGACAGGAAAAACAAACGCCAAGAAGGGACCTAAAGTGGACTTTAATGCCTACAAGGACTTCCACGACCGAGAAATTGAAGCCCACATTATTGCCTCGTTTATGGAATTTGCTGGAATGAAATCTGTACAAGGTGATGATACATATATTTTGAGCAGTAATTGAGCAGTAATTATTATTATTTGTCCTCAACCATTTGTGTTGAACGGGTTTGGAATATTAAGAAAACTTAAACTGTGTGCTCAAATTTTGTCTTTTTAAACTTGTACCTTGGACTAGATAAAAATAATTAAGAAAAACATTTTACTTATTCTGAATTCAGAAAAGCTATAGCTTAAAGGTGTTCTTGGATAAATATTATGAAAAATATGTGCAAATTACCAATTTAAAATTTAATTGCAGATAAGCCGACAAAGTGTACAGTTCCACAATCCTGGCAGTCCAAAGAAGACAAAAAGGCATGGCTTTTTAATCAGATCGAAAAGTACCTGGAGCAGTTTGTGTTTGATGCAAGCACTCTCCCTGACATTACAGAACAAGTTCAACGTCTGGAGAAGAATGAGAAGGATGGATACCAATGCCGAGCACCAGGATGTGAGCGCAAGTACGTCTTCCACTCAGGTAGAGTCAGGTACGTTAATGCATAACATGATTTGACATTAATGCACTGTTTTTTGCAACAGCTAGTAACTAAACATCACAGTGTTTAGCTTTCCCTCATGTTACATTGATCACAACACTCTTCTTTTTAATGTGTAGGAGTAACACGTAGGACCATTTGACTTTTTCATTTGATGGTAATCACTCAAACAAAACATAATTGTGTTTCATCAAAATAAGATAACTGAGTAATTTTTCAATAGGCATGAGATTGAGGCCCATCCTGAACTTGCCATTCAAGACAATGATCCTTCGGCACCACTAGACTCAGAAGGTTATTACAGATGCAGAGGAAGCTGTGGTCTGGTGTACAAAACTAAAGCCACAAGAAACAGGTAAGTAATTATTACTTAGTGTGATATAAGGTCTGCAAAAGACAAAACAAAGGCTCCTATAATGTTTAAATGTTGCCATTTCTGGAACTATAATTTTACTAAAAACGTAAGCTTCTCTTAAGTGACCAAATACAACACCTCAGTTGTTTTTAGTACATAAATGAAATGATAAGTTCACCTGCTAACACTCAGAATTTCACCAATTAACAATTACTGTTTGGTTGTTGACATAAAAAGCATTACCATCCCTACTTTCATATGTAGTGAGGATATATACTTCATGGTCCAATATGTTTGTTTTGCATGGGGATAAGTTCACCCACTAACAATAATGTTACGAATTACTTTTTTCTGGGGTAGACATGAGAAGCAATCCCATCCTGACTTGCAAGCTACATACACTAGCAGCCCTGAGACTGGCCATGTTATAAATTCTGCAGAAGAGAAAAAGGAAGACCATGTCTTCAACTATCACAAAGCCAAGCTGACATATGGACTCTTGTTGTCCGATTTTGGGGATGCCATTAGAGAAGGGGATGGACAAAGACTGCTTTCACTATACAAATTGGCCTTGTTGATTTTTTCTTGTTATGGTCATACAAAGTATGCATATGTGACTCTGCTTTTGTTGGTGCGTGTTCATGCCATACTAAATCAATCTGAAGCATTTAGCCTTATGTCCAACCGCTTTTGTAACACTTCAGGAAGAATAGGTAGGAATATTCCCCTTGATTTACGGTTAGAGCATCTAAACAATTTGCTGAAAGCCTGCTTGAAAGCTCTTGGGGCAAATGTCAATGAAGAAAGTGCTCAGAGGATAGCAGCTGCATTAAACGGAATCGAAATGATCCTTAACTCTGTTGACAAGGATTGTAGATGTACAGTGCCATCCAAAGTTCGCGGTGGGAAAGGTCATGAAGAGTCAGTGTTGCAGATTGTGTCTGATCTCAACAGTATCAATGCTTTTTGCAAGTGCCCTCAACGGGATGGTTATTCTGGCTTTGCCAAGTTCAATTCTAACATAATTTCTCAGTTGGATTATGCACAATTCTATCATTGGGTAAGGGATAAGTTGAAAATATGGAAGGAAATCTATAGTCAAGGGCAGTAAACCCCGTCTTAGAAATTGCCTGTTAAATCAGCGAGCACATTCATGCAAATTCCTTTATAAGCCAAAAGTCCCTTTGTTAAGAAATCCTGAATCAGCACAAATGTGTTGTCCGATTATGAGAAACATTAGAATGGTAGGAATATCCCAAAATGCAAATATGGTCTGTTTTGGGATTTCTCTGTGAAAAATCCAAAAAAAAGACCTATCAGTGACAGGATAGATTGAAATGCCAGCTAGGTAATAGTTCGATTATCTTTTAATTAGATGAAATTGAACATGCCCATGCCCATGATGTAAAATGACGAGGAATAATAAAATTATAACTTAAATAAAATGTTGTACATAGAAAAGCAGCAAATTGAATAATGGTAAGAACAAGTGAAAATGAATTGGCACAGGCATCCTATGTTGGTACAAATAAGTAATCACCTACAAAATTAAGTTTTTCAAAATAACTTGACTGATTGCAAATAAAAGCTAGGCACTTTAGACTCTCTGGTTTGTGAAACACTGTCTGTTATAATGTACATGTATTGGTTGAGAACATAGGTACTATCAGGGTTGTCACTATGTGGCCTATGTCTAAAAACTGCAAGCAGTCCCTGTTGGCCAGTGGGCAAGTGACGGCAAACTAAACGGAACTGCAGACCTCAGGTTAGGCAAGAGGCAAAAAGGTAACCCACATGGCAATCCTGAAGGACTTCTTACAGTTTTAGTCTTAAATAAGTAATAAGAATGAAAAGAACCTATGAGATATATGGACCTACAAGTTTTCCAGTTCATGAGAATTGTATTCCTCTGGTTCACTCTCTGAAGAAGAGAATGTCTCAAAGGTAAGCTCCTTTTCTCCAGGATTGTCAAAGAAATTGAACAAATCTTCAGGCAAAGCCTGCATGATCTCCTCGAAGCAGGCTATGTCCTCAAAGGTTTCTTGAAATATTTCCAGAACCATCTTTGCATGAACAATGTTAAATACAGGAAACCTCTTTAAAATGTCAGAAACCGAAAATATCGAGGAAGCTTCTGCCACAAGCTCATTGATAAGCTCAGTGGAAAATCCGTGAGCACTAGAAGATCCAAACACTGACAATGTGGGA